AACAAAAAGAGGAGAGTAAGCTTTGTCGAGTACATCAATATATTTAATTTTCTTACCGAACGTTCAACAAAATTATTAAATGCAGTCTTCAATGAAGTCATGTACAAGTTTGCAAATAAACTCCCTCGAGTAAAATGTCATCATTCCCATAAATATACAAGAATATACTAGCGTTGTTTTCATTAGCTGTAATCATGTCGAATTTATTTTTAAAAAGCTGAAATCCTAATTAAAGATGACAAATTAAAAAGGCCTCATATCACTATCCAGTGTATGTATGCTTTTCGTAATAAGTTGAATGCACACAGTTTTGACCGAGCTCTACTCACAACTTTCACTGCCAGCCGTAACATAGTTGGATGCCTAACTACAATGAAAATGTGTTTGAACACTAGATTATATAATGGAAATTGCGTTCGGACGACAACATACATGACGTAAGCCTACGTCGCAATTGTGCTGCTAGTCTACCTCGTGACGATGTCATAGTTGTCAATTGCGCGTTATACAACCATGTTTTCTATACATCTATCTTGTCACTTGGTGTTACAGGAAAAAAAAGTCGTACAAGTTGGATGACACTTGGTGTTACCAAACGAAAGGATTCATCTGCCAGTATCCAAGTATGTATCTCACTAATATCATGTATTACCGTTACATTTTAAATAACTTTAATTTACCACTCGTGGTAGAACTACAAGCCATATTACACTAATTTTGGTTTCCGTATTATACACTTACATTGGCATATCGTAGTATAAGTACACTCCACGTTGTTATATATTTGGCGTCTCGAATTATACCACGTGCATAATGCTACGGATAAATATCGATAAAGTTATCTTACGTTTTTACACTGTTTACTTTCAGTTAATTGTTGAGAAGGTATGGACTTTCAAACTTCCAAGGATCCACACAACGACAGTTACAAAACCAGTTTAGATTGTTTCGATATTGTGCCCGGATTGTTTTTAAATAACAACCAGTATTGTACCCTAGTGATTCCCATTTCACAGAAACACTGATATTTACTTCGCAGCTGTAATTAGCGTTGATATGTGTAATAAGTTTTGTTTCAATCTAATTGTCACTATTTCTTTTATTAGATCTAGATTTACGAATATTAGATCGTAGGTAATGTCTACACCGTGATGGTTTAATCATGCATGGAATACACACAAATACTTGACTGTATTTATACACCATGTTGTAGGCTTATTTGAAAGCTTATACACGTATGTCCCCAAAATGGGTATATAAAATCACTTTCTAGTGATAAATCAACAGAAATCGCTATTTCAGCCTGAGTCAAACCATGCCATCATGTAAAACAAATGTCACACAAAGAAATCTATTCATAGTCTCCATAAAGGTATATATTTTCTCAAAAATATTATGAAATGAGAATGTCCAGTCTCCATAACTATAATTGCCGTATTGGAGGGGATGGAGTTTTGGGGGTACTAGTGGCACACAGATTGCCCGAGTAGTATGCTTTCCCATTCTTGTACAGTAATCTGTATACCTTCAAATGTATTCTATTTTGTATAGGCCAGAAATAATAATGTTTATTGTTAGAGAATAATAAAGAAATGTGTAATTGCATGAACATAGTTGTCTGATCTTGAACTCAATATATGTTATATAGTAAGCTTGGGCTGAAACCAGACACTTCAGTGGGGGCGCTAACTAACTCTGTTTATTACACAATGGGACACACGGATAACATGGCAGAGATACAAGAAAGTGAACTGAGCATGCGTAGAATAGCGTAAAACGAACACACACAAGATGGCGTACACACAATTGATGAGATAAATGCTGATCACACAGAATGGCGCAGTGGTGATGGTAATAGTCTCACGGTACAAAATGTCGTTCTCCATGACAAACGCTTTTGATGTACTTTATCCGAAGAATTTGAGCTTTTATCCAATGCGTTTGAATAAACACCCTTTTAACTGAGATAAATAGTCCAACACAAAGTTCATACACTTAACATAGCGTAGAGGGCAGTATTAAACTATATAGTCTTAAATATACAGTGACTTGTGACCATCCATAACCCATCGTTGAGTGTATACCACTTTACTAAAATAAAGAAAAATAAATATATCACGACGACAAACCCATTATGTCCATTCAGTGATTTTTTTTTTTCTATAAATTTCACAATTCAAACTGAAAAGAGATATCTTTATTGGAAGATGAAAACACATTGAAGCATTTTTAAATGACGTCACTGGACTAGTTGATTGGCTTAAGGTAGCGGGCCTATTATTTGCATACTTGGGTTCATCTTCTAATTGTGACTAAATGACTACAAATAGACCCAGGAAAGTATATATTTTTAGAATCGCCAGACTTCAAGATTTTCACAAGTGTATTTTGCATGCC